TTTCGTCCAATCTAAGAGCAAGGTTATTGCTGTCAACACCCAAGATTAATATAAAACAGCTTAATTTATTTAAAGTTATACCTACATGTTGAAATCGTTTGATTAATGTTAGCGAACTCGACCAGGTTTCCACATTAAACGGCATTTAAAGGAGCGTGAAAAGTCAACAAGGACGAAGAGCAGGAAGAGTCCCATCCACACACTCATGTGATGGCACAACTCCTGGTTAACCCTCGTAACCCCTCGATGTGTGTGATTTAAATAAAACTAATGTTTGTGTGAAAATGGATTTTCTGTTTGTCATCGGCTGTTGACTCCCTTGTGTTTTATATTCAAGCTGCGAACCGCAGGGCCAAAGGATTTCTTCCGCTCCTATCTCCTGACTCCTGGTATTCAAATTCGGTGGCAGCGGCAAACAGATTTAAACTCGCATACGCTTAGCACGTGAATCCTTAAGGACGACTGGCAGGAACAGCGACAACGACACCGCTTTCCGCCGAGTCATGCATCATATCTGCAGCTGCGGAAACCCCTGAGTTGGGAGGGGTTCGTCCTCGGGATTGGACTGGGTTGGGTTCGGGGTTCGGGGCTATCCCTGGGCAGGGTTTTCAACGGGACGAGGTGACATGAAAGTTGGGGGTTGCATGAAACTGAAACTGAATCCGAAACCGAGAACGCGCGTGGTTGACACGTGATTCCGGTGCTCGTAAATTTCCAAGAGCTTCCCATCTTTTTAGTGCTCCTTGTAGTTTTTAATTTGTGGCTTGTTGCGCAATGTTAACAGTTATTATTTATGCGATGAGCGGCGAGATATCCGAAGTTATGGGTTATTTTTAAAGCGGATATTAAGTTAGCTACCTGTGATAAGGACTCGAAGTGTCGAAGAACTGAGGGAAATTTGCAACCCCAACGCAACGCAGGAATTTTTGAATAGGGCGAGGAGAGCGAAAGATGTCACTTGGGGATGCTTTTCTACATGGGTTTGGGAATCTGCGAGTGTGAGCGAGTGTCACAGCATCATCCATCATTTTGGACTTGACCTTTTTTCGACTAAGCTTCCGTTTAACGCAGACTAAAGGCGAATCTTTAATTTTGTATTTGCTATCTATCACGGAGTGGGCTACGGGATACGGGACACGGGACACGAGGTGCACATGTTACATCCGAAGGATACAAGGACTGTCCGAGAGGGCGTCCCCAGTCAAATGTCAGACAGACCACATAAGCGACTCTCTGGGAAAACTGCCTTGCAATGTTGTATTGTAAGTTTTCCGACGAGCACATGCACACTTCTTTATAAATACATATTTTCCCAGTTGGATTTCACTTTTGCGTCGTGTTAAAAATGAATTTGTCATCTGTAAACGGTCTGACATGTTTGCCAAAAAATAAATCTCATTCACTCTCCACCTTTTGATCACCTCATGCCATTCCGAGTCCGTTGGGCAATACATCAATTGCTCCTCGGTGGTTGACTTAACTCCTGAACGCAGTTAAGCCCGAGACCAATAGCCCCTGATTGATTTGCATCGCAAATTGTGATTTTAATTGACATGCGATGAGCGAAGCAATACAACAGACCAATAATTATGTCAATCTGCTCAGCTCGTTGATCGATGGACTCCTCTGCAAGCTGGATGGGAAAAGATTTTTAAAGTTCTGAAGGGGTCGTATTCTTGAGGCACGGAATTTAAAATTCCTTAATACAACATTTTATTTCACTTATGTCATGCTCTAAATTCGGTGTTTGCAATCCACCGATATATAAACTACTCTGAAAATCAAATAAAATAAATTTATATTGCGGCTAACTCGTTGTGCATAATAAACAGGAGTTATTGAACAATTTAAAAATGTATGCTTGTAAACACACGGACATCGGAAAAGAGCAAATTTATTTTTGGTTGTTACAACTCTTTTGGAGTTATTAATTGGAAATCGTACACGGCTCACATAAATGGAACAGAACGCAGCAGAACGTGCCAGATGTAATATGCCGTAAAAATAGCAATAAGTGGAACAATTATGAACCAATAGGAGCGAAAACACGAAGGCCCGCGGAGGGTAAAATTGCGGGGAGTGGAGTCGGCCAACATGGTTCCCTGGGCTTTATAATAGCCCCAAATCGCTTAGCTTTAATTCGAAATGGGTGGTTGAAGGTGGGCTCGAGGCAGGTGAGCGGTGGGTGGTGATTATTATAAACGCATCGTTCAGATCATTGGCCAAATGGTTTTTCGAACAATTTGTTGCTTCGCTGCTGATTGAATGGCAAAATGCAAAATGGTGAGTTGTGGCGGCTAAAGAGCGTGAAATTGATATGCAATTAAAATAATATTTTTTCAGCCGAGTGAAAACACTCATTATTATTACCGAGCACACATATAAAATAATTATTGATATCTCTATATCACGTATAGATTTTTATAGCCAACAGCTGACAACGAAATGTGCGCGAAATAATAATTTCCCCTGAATCAAACCAATTTTGGAAAAATGGATACCTCGCATTAAAGCCGAGTTCAAGGATTTTTCCGCCAGCTCTATTTTCTCGGTCTTTTTTTTTAAATTCTTAGAAAGTGCAAAGGGGATAGCAGGCTGAGTGACTGCTGCGGTTAATGGCTTTTGAATGCAAATTCAATTTTATCGCACTCTGTTCACTTTTTAATAAGATTTCCACCCAGCCCCACCTCCTTCCCTCGACTGCTGGCGAAAGGTGCACTCTGTTGGAAATGAAAATTAGTTGCAAGAGCCGAAAAACAAAAAGGAAAGACCGAGGGAGAAATGAAATGAAAGCCCAGAGACACGCGACTTGCGACCTGCGAGAAATGCTTTTTGGCGCCACAAGCAAACCTGTCTCTCTCTTTTTTCCTATTTAAAAGTGGTGTTGTTTATACACTGCCAAAAAGTATAGAAAATAAAGAGTGTATTTTAACGAATGCTGCGCCAAAAGAGGTAATAAGCACATCAACATTGAGAAATGCGATGTTTTTCAGTAAGGTAAATGCTTCAGTGTAATTTCGCACATTTTTAAAAACATTCAAGCACATGTTTAAATTAAATGTAATCTTTTACAAAAAACACAACCGTTAAAGTTTTAAAGTAGGCCTTCTTAAAAAGTTTCTGTTTCTTGGGTAGCTCTTAAAAACTCCGAGTTTTAGGAGCTTTATACATTTTTTCAAAGTGTTTCCCTGCTCGAGGGGCACTGCCCACAATCCAACAAATTGCGTTTCGTGTGCGAGAGTGGGTGGGAAAACTGTCAGAATGAATGAGTAGCCCGGTCACACCTACTCGCTGTCAGTCAGGCCCAGTTCGCCCCTGAGCAGCATGAGCCCCGAATGGAAATGGAAATGGCAATGGCATTGGAGAGCGGTATCGCACCGAAAACTGTCCAAGTTGTTGCCTTGAATCGTGCAATCGGTAATCGAGCAAAAAGAAACCTTCGACTGCAAAATATCAACGGAGAGATACGAAACTCGCAATGGCGAGACAGCTCACTACATTCTTTTCAATTAGGTAAATTGGCGATAAGTATGATTAGAAAGTGTCTACGGGGGCACCTGGCACTTTGAGGTGGAACCCGAGGGAAAGTCTGTTATGGGAATTAAAACAACTTGAATGGACAGTAACAAAATATCATTTAATAAATTAAAATTAAAATAGTTCTAATACTTTTGAGTTTTAATAAAATACATATGCGCTAAAAAATCGTACTTCCCAACTTATTGTATTACGATTTTATCTTAGTGTTCATTTGTAGATTTGTATAGAACAACTTTAACAACAGAATCTGTTCCTTTAGATTAGAGTTCGATACCATATTTTAAAGGAATATCCTTTCTTTAGTTTTTCTGTATAGATATCACAAAAAACCGATATTTTTAGTCCATAAATCAAACAGAAAATCCCAACGAGTACGAACCGGACGTACTTGCAGCTCCACCCATTAAAGCCAGTTCCATCTTCAACTGAAATATTTGAAATGGCCAACAAAAAGCGCGCAGTCATATTCATGAGCTTCGCATCAGCTGCATATAGAAATGGGAATGTTCGCTGATTATCAAACGAAAATATTTGCTAATCACGCAGCTGCTGCCGCTGCACGAAAAATATCAAATATTGCTTATGAAACTGCATAAACTTGGCAGCAGTTCGATGGGGAAAAGTCAGGGAGCTGCTGAAGTGGGTAAGAGGCAACGACTAGAGCCCAACCCATCAGAAATTAAGTTCCAGGCTAGACGCTATTATTTCCGACAGCATGATTTTATTTGCCCTCGCCATCATCATCATCATCGTGATCCAACCCCTTGCTTTAACCCTCCTCCCTTCCTCAAATAATAGACTTCTGCGAGAAGTTCTGCGCTTCCTCGAGACTTTCCTGGGGATTTCCTCCATATTTTTTGCCATCGAAACTTCTCAATTACGAACTCGGGTTAAAGGATAGTATTGGGTAAAGGAAGTACCACCACTTGACCACTCGTTACGTGCTGCATGTGTTGACCATGTCAAACCGGCTGGGAAACTTCCGCTTTCCGAACTTTGGGGTTAATTATTTTCCACTTTCAAGCCAACTTCAAGAAAGAAAGTTTCTTGTCCAGAATTATAAAGATACTTAAAAGTAGCTGGAAACTCGTGCAACTTTGTCACCAAAAAATAAGCATACATCCCAATATTTAAGCTGGCTTCCTGTACTTCGATGCAGTCAAGTATGCTTCTTTGCAGGTGAATGGAGTCTTAAAATATTTACACGCTTCAATAAACATTTAACGATTTTTTTGAGTACCAAGATGCATCCCGTTTTTTGCGCAAGCTAAAGATTTTACAATTCCTCCACTTTAAATAAGCATTGGTATGTGCGTTGAAATAAAATGTGGGAAAAAGATTTACCGTATTTAAAACGATGTGCATCTCCGATGTTAAATATCTGAATCGAAATACATTTAACTTAATTACTCTTTATTTTGGATATTTTACTAATTAAAGGTTTTCTTGTCCCATTTCAGGTGATAACTCCATAAGTAAGTACTTCTCTCGCTAAATAAACAATTTATCACCCGTTGCGCAATATTTTCAACCACAATCCATAAGATTCTCCAATTGGCCTAAAACTATGAAAATCAACAACATTTCGCATTCGCAGTGAGAGATTCTTCAAGGCAAACCTTTAATTTCGAGGGCCCAAACCGCAGCAGCCTGATTAAATCTTATTATAGCAATTTCTGACCAACCCACAGAGATGTGTTCAAAAACCGCAAAACGAGCAATGCGAATTTCGATAATTGTTGTATAACAATTTCCCTTGAAAATTTGCTTAGCCAAATAATTATATCGTTTCTGTGGAAAGATCGGGCAAAGTTGTGACCATTTTGGGTATTGGGCATCATCTAGAGTAAGCCGAAAATCAACCATAAAAACTGAGAAAAAACTGAACCAATCAAGCGTCCACCATTTTGGAGACGGTTCAACGGAAACGTCGCTTTTTCATGTTCGTGACCAAAGTTTAGGTTTTTTTTTGGGGGAAGGAAAGACAACGCAAACACGGCTGAAAATAAAGAAACACAGAGAGGGAAAAATACATATTTTACCTGAATTAAATTGAGTAACAAAACACGAAACTTTTTTTATACCTCTGCCTGTGTGTGTGTGTGTATAATTTAAGAAATATATATAGACCAATCTTGTTCATGTTTTTGTTGATTCTGAAAAGGGAGAGAGAGCCTCAAACACGCCACCAGTTTAAGTTTGGCCAACTCACACATACACAAACACACAAATACATCCACCTTTCCACTCTCCACGACTCTCTTTTTGGGCTTTGTTGCGGAGGAAATAATTACATGATTGAGGTACTCCACACACACTTGCTCGAATACCCACAATGACAAGCAGCGGCCCTTCCCCCTCCACCTCCCCCTCCTCCATCCCCTTCCACTTCCCCTTTCCCTTCCCTCATCCCCACGGTTTGGCCAGCTCGTGTATTATTTTTTGCCGTTGGTGGTGGTCGTTGTCTGATCGAAAAGAACATGTCAGGTTTCCCGACCTGGCCATTGCATGCCTCGACTTCGAGTATGAATGAATGACCGGCCGGGCCATGGCGGCTTTTTGTGGAGAGTGGTTGTTCTTCTCGGCGGCCTGCCTTTTTTCTTCGGTCACTTTTTTTTTGGTATTTGCACTTGAAAAAAATGTTCAAATTCCTCATAAAAGAAGCTAAATGTATGCCTTCGTTTAAGTAGATAATTAAATTAAAATAAAAAATGATTTTAAATATTTTGGTTACACTTTTGCCTCATCTATTCATCTTTCACTGGATAAAATTGGGCAAAGTTTAATCTCTCCTCACCTGCTGAAAATTGTATATTGACTTGACCCAATATGAGCTTCAAGCCATTCCTAAACATTTCATTTTTCGGAAAATTGATGCAGATCGACAAGAAACAAAAACTGCTTATATGCCTTCATTTTAATAATATTACTTAATGTTTGTGTCTGCCAAGTAAAGAAAGGTGCAATTGTACTTATATAATATTTTGAAATCTTATAAAATATTGGAGTTATTGGAATGCAGTGTTTTAATCCCGAGTTATCTTTAGAAACAACAGTTAACAACAAACAGAATTAACGAACAACAGAATAAATTTGTTAGAACGTCATAGAAAAGTTGATAAAACTATATGGTATATTAATAAGATCAGCTTTGTTCGTATTAAAGTATCCCACATCTAGTAGTTTGTTTTCTTTAAGTGCATGTAATTCACGCTAAGCCACAACAATGTCGACTGACGACTGGCGACGGTCGAAGTCCCTGGCCCATGGCAATTATTGTATCGCTGGCTCGACCCACCCTGCGCCCCCCGCCCACTAACTTACCCCCTTGAAACCCCTGCTGGGCCACAAAGCGGTAACCACTCAGCAGTGTGGTTGTCTGCGTGTGTGTGTGTGCAAGGAGCAGAGTTGAGGTCAGCGCAATCGTGTGTTGTAATTGGCTGCTAGTGGTCTGGTTATTTCACAGGACATAACCATCACCAACGCTGAAAGGACACCGTGTTTCACACAAGACACATACATATCATCAAAAACGCTTACTGATTTCACCTTCAGTTTTTCAACTGTATTGAATACTTTGTATTCTATCGATCTCTCATTCGTAGTTTACAATCTCTTCATTGTTTGTAAAAATAATGGTAAAGAAGCATTCCTCAAAATATATAACAAATTAAACTAAACTTTATTTTGTTCAATAAAGGCCCGTCCTTACTTGGCTCATTTGGCCCTTAGTAAATTTTACTAGCTGCATTTGATATATCATCTTCGATATGTGGAATGCTATTACTCTGGCTTGTCAGTCATGAGGATTTCCCATTAATTTTGCCTGACCTCTAAAGTTCCGCCCCCAAAAGAAGTTCAGACCTTCAGACTGGGATCTTCCCTCACTATCCCCTTTCAAGTATTTCCATCTGTGCAGGATTAATTCCTAATTTCGCCTAATGTCCGAGTGCTGCTCGAATCGATGTTTACATTTTGGGTGTCTCGTCTTCTAATTTACCTTGATAAAACGTTACCAATCCCATTCCCATTCCCAATCCCATTCCAGTTCCCATTCGAGTTCCCATTCCCATGCCCTGCCCTGTCCTCGGGCTGTTTTTGTCTCTGCCCCCTGAACGCATTCGAGCCGTAGAGGTAGCCGGACTCGCAGCCGGATTGGGAATCGTAGTAGTACTCGTACTCGGAGTCGGAGACGGGCCCACATGTTTGCATCATTAATCATGACGTTTCAGCTCTGACACATTTGGCCGATCGGCGGCAGCGGCAGCGGCTGCAGCAGAAGCAACGGCAAGCGGATTGTAATGAACACGTTTTGTAAGGCAGACAGACGGAAAAACACGGAGACACAGATACAGATACTCGGCCAGAAACAAACCCAAAGACTCAGATACAGATACAGGTACAGATACAGATGCAGAGACAAGCGCAGACACAGACGTCTTTAAGATACGGCCATCGAGCGGATGGAAGACGACGAGCTTGAGACAGACGCACGTCAGCAATGGACGTTGACCACTGCGGATGCGTATGCACTCAAAAAAAATACCCAAAGAATTTCTAAAAGCTGTGCCATTTTTATTATTGTTAAGAAGCACTGTAGACGAAAACATGAGTTAGGAAAATATAGCTTTACTGAGGCAAGTGCTTGCTATAATTCCAAGTAGTAATTTACTAGCAAAATCATAGATGATATCTCAGAGTTCAGCGGACATTCATTATTATAAGGAATGATGACTTTCATTAAAACAATTATGTCGTTTATAAAATACAGTCTCTATTAAAAACATTATTTGAGTTTATAACAGAACTACCCAAAACCATTTAAAGATTATATTAGTATAAATAGCAAAGAACTATTTGCACACTAAACGTAACTTCCCGCAAATATTTTCGAGTGTACCCGCTGCGAGGCGGGAGAAGGAATAGCGGACGAAGACAATGGGCCATTCGAAGACAAATATTTTCACAATGGCACCAAAAGACAAAAGGAACAAAACCAACACGCAGAGAGGCAAAAGGCAACTCATGTAAATATTGGCCAAAACTATTTACGAAACTATTAGCTGCTGTTATGGGCAAGACTAATTGTGACGCTCCGGGGAGAGTGCGTTTATAAGGCGGGATGAGCCAGAGATAAAGGGACGTTAATAGGGGAAGAGTTTCGTAAGGATTGCATAAGGACTACGCACAATAATGAGGTTTAAACGATGACAACTGTCGAATTGGTTAAACCGTCATGAATGATGTCTGCCTTCTTCAGATTGTGGAAAGAGATATAAAAGAATTGCTTTACCTTATTATTGAAATCCAGAATAAAATATTATTATTTTTGGAAATAAAATATTTCGAGAAGTTTGCAAAGTAGCCCACTGAGTACCTTAAGGAACTGCACCAGTATATTTCTCTCAAAAAATATCTAAATATTTGGCATCGTTACCTATGGCCTTTTACCAAGCACTTTTCTACAAATTTAAATATTGCAGTCCTTAAAGCACTTCTACCCCGGCTTTCGGCAAGTTTCTGACTGAAAGGCCATTTGTCCTTGGTATCAGCAGAGCTGCTACTAAACCAAATCTAGGTTGACTTATATACTTCCGTTTCCGGCAGCGAACATACGCTCCAACTCAGGTTTTACCCCCACCAAACCGCCGCTTGTGTTCAAGGGATTTTTATGGCTGACTCTCGGGGCGGGGCGACTGCGGAGCGGAGTGTGTACTTGGCGCAGAAACAGAATTTTATGCAAATATCCTAATCAAATTCACATTTTGAAGTTCAACTGTTTTATCCAAAAGTTTTACCTTCCGAGAAAGCCGAGAGGCAAAGCCGGCAGCGTCGTTGTCGTCGTGTGGCAGACGCGCTCGAGACTCGGAGCCAGAACCAGAGCCACCCATTTTTAATTTATTTCCACTTTCCCACTTAAAAAAAGGAGGCCTCCACCTCCCGGGCTCCGGTTCCGCCCACACCTTCATCCGCAGCCCGTATCCGGTGCGTGCGTCCGGCGGAGTTTGCCGGAGCTTGGGCTTGGGGTTGGTGTTATCGGCCGCCCGTTTTCTGTCTTCCGTGCACCTAGAAAAATATAATATGCTATTATACATTTTTAAGCAAATAGAGAATTATTTACTAGGGAAAAATGTTAGGCAAGAATTATCCCAAAAAAAGTAAAACCTTTTTTACTTATTTATCATATAAGAACTGTGTGTGTTTTTTTAACTTTCTAAAAAAAAAATTTTATTTAAACTGCAGTTTTTGACTTTTAAATAAAATTTGCAAAATAAATAGGTCCTTAACCGAAACATTATATTAATGCTGTAGAATTTCTTATTATAACAAAATTGTAACAAACTCGTTTTTTGTGAGTGTGGCCATATCCTCATCCGCCCAACACCGCAACGGTGGTTGTCGCCCATATTTTCACTTATCAAAGCGCCACCCCATTCGCCACCCACCGCAAACTTAAATCTGCATATCGAAAGCG